TTCTTGCGCCATGATCTTGTCGTACAGCGCAGTGGTGATTAGCCTGGAGGTGCCGTACTGTGAGCCAAAAGTGGCAGGGTTGGCCACGCCGAGGCCTCCATGCCGGCAGGGGAAAGTGAGCAAAATGCGTTCAGCTTCACTGGGCGCCGTCCGTCCACTAATGGCAGGGATTAGGCGGCGGTGGATGATGTCCTCCAGGGGTGCCAGCTGTTCTGCAGCACCATCGAGAACCCGACACAGGAAGGACCACCGGTGTTGGAGGCTGTTCACCAGTGCAGAGTAAGCTGCTTGAGGCTGTGACCGGGCGAAATCTGTCAGCTTGCACAGCTCCTGCGACCAGGTGGCCACCTTGGAAGCCACAAACTCCTGCACAAACTGATCAGTTCCGATGGCTGATCCAAGGTGACGGCACCCGTCAGTGGTGATAGACACACCCGTGCCGGCGAAGATGGTCTCGGCTGCCTCTAGCTTGTCCCGCTTGACGACGAGGACGGACTTGCTGGGGTTAATGAAATACCCGAACGCCGGCCCATCCCCGACGAGTCGGTCCCACCACTGGCGGAGAGGGTTGAGCCCGCCACCCGCGGACGAGTCATCCGCATACCAGCTCTGGCGTGTTCCTGGGGTTGCCACTCTGCGCACCAGGGGGAGTACCCCCAAAGCGTACATCGGCATAGCAAGAGGATCTCCCTACGTTGTGCCTTCTCGCGATAGGAGGCACTCCCCGTCCACGAATAGGCGGGCCGGCTGACGGTAGCAGTTTACGATAGCGGGTGTGATGGCTGGACAGAGGTGCGCTACGTTGCGCATACATGCTTCTCTGTTAAGGCGATTGAACGCATTGGATGCATCTGCCATAAGCACAGCGTCAACGTCTTCTTCATGGAACGTGTCGTGCATGGCGTGAATGGCCGCCTCAATGCCACATTCCTGGCCTCCGCACATCTGCAGTGACCCTGTCGCCTCACGAACAGAGTCCCCCGCCACGCTCAGAATAGCCTTGCCGATGATACGACGGACGGTTTCGCCGATGCCTATTGGGCGCACACCCGGTTTCTTATCTAGAGGGATAAGCCGGCATGCCGTGTAGGCTTCCATCGATGCTGGGTTGACGTACTGAGTGGCGATTCGCCGGGCACAGCTGGCGAGAGCATCACATAGGTCGTCTGAAATGTCCCCAAACGCTGTGCACATACGCCTCCAGCCATCTGCGTCCATCCCAGACGGCCCTGCAGAACCGGTGGTATGCAGTGCAGCTTGGCGCACAGCGGTCCTGTCCAGCTTGGTGAAGAGCACTGGGTGGGGCTGTGCTGGGGGTTGCCCTGGGAGGAGAGCCGCTGCTGTGACTGCCTCGCCCTGTGGGTGCTTACTGCGCAGCACATCAAGCACGGTCGTTTCTCCAATGGTGTCGTCAAGATCAAGAACTCCACCACCCATGTCGGGGGAGAGTTGACGAGTGGCTGCCGAGAGCCTGCCACGCTCAATGTCAGACGCAAATCTGCGTGCCGGGTCGACCGTGTGTCCCTCGTGCCGTGCGTTTCGCCTGCGGGCCTTGACGATCTGGTCTTGGATAGTCACGGATTCTTGGAGTAGCACCTGTACGTCTCCGGAATTCCACGAGGCAATGCGGCGCTCGATGCAAACCTTGTGAGCTGCTGCCGCTACGGTCCCGCCAGGTTTCTGAAGGAGCAACTGCTGCATTACCATCGCCGTTTTCAGGGCGTAGTCAGCTGCACCTGAGGAGTTGTTACCAAAGGCGTGGAAGTGTGAACTCAGCATACGGATAAAGGTTCGGCCCGTGCTGCCCATTGGTACGTCCAACAGGTTTGGGGCAAAATGAACTACCTTCTCGTACGCCTCGGATATCCGGTTGGAAAACGTGGGACCGTCCAGATCTCCCATTCCGAGTGTGGGGTCCCGCAGGGGAGGATGGGGTGGCAGGTCCGGGATAACAGGATCAGCGACGTCCATTGTTGCTTGGGACATGTTGAGTGTGGCTAGCAGTCGGACATCGTGTGGATCTACGTCCCCACTCGCTGGTAGGTCAACTAGGTCCACTACGGTCACGGTGGCACGCTCCGCGTCCGCTGGCTCAGGCGCTTGGCTGGCAGGTTCGACATCAGCACTGCCATTGGTGTCAGGCGAGTTCGGCACCTGTACGGGTACTACAGTGCTACTGCTAGTACTGGCACCGGGAGGCGAGCTCGACCGGGCTGTGCGAGGTGGTCCGTGACGACCGTCTCTGCACTCTGCAAGTAGGGTGGTGGTGAGTACTGCGGCTGCACTCTCGGTGACTACTGGCTCGTGCACATTCGAGACGTTTGGTACGGGTACGGAGTCTAGTGTCGTATCGGAAACTGCGGTTGCTCTGTTGTCGGAGCTTGTCGACGTCCTGCTGACAGTGTGGTCCGTTACCGTATCACGAACAGAGTTTCGTGCAGTTCCTACGGGTACGGTAGCTGTAGTCGTCGACGACGGTTGAGAAGACGGTTGGGATGTCGGGGAGCCGTTCCGGCATTTGTTCTTCTTCGAGGGGATACAATTCCGACACTTCCGACCCTCCTTCGTGCAATCGCACCGAACACAGGTGCCGTTGCCGTTGCACCGGCAACAAGTGGCACTCTGCATCGGCTGGTTTGCAGGAGAGGCACGTTGGAGTTGGAAAATCCACTGAAGACTACAGAGCTCGAGAAACGCGTACCTACGTCAACATTCAAAAAAACTCGGAAGTCACTATAGCACTTCACAGAGTCATACGAGGATACTTATCAGCGTAGTACAGTATTGTACTACTCCCTGCTTATCACTTCCCTGACAAGAAGTCGCATGCACATGAGAGAGAGCTCTTGCGGGATTTTATGGTACATGTACCTCATTTCCTTCACACTGTCTAGAGGGAAGGTTGCATACGCGGTTGTTGTCTTTCAAGGCTGAATTGAAGGAGATTTTGTCGTGCCATCTTTGACGGTGAGTAATGTGTAGCACTGTTTTACTTTTCTGTTGTCTTGCTCTCAGTTCCACTTGTTAGTCTTCTATATTATTATTTGTATATAGTACAGTGGTCCCTCTATAATCCGGCACCATTTGTGCCACGGAAATCTGGTGGATTAGGGAGGGTGCTGGATTAACAAATTGGATTTACTGCTGCAATGTGCATGAAGAGGACATTTTGGCTACTGAAAATTGTGCTGGTTTATCGAGGGTGCTGGTTTATAAAGTGCTGGATTAGAGAAGTGGGTAGGCCTCGACCAAATATGCTAAAAAAAGAGAGCATATTATGCTCGTCGCATATCAGGGAAAACGTCCATAATAATTATGCCAAAGGCTTAGCAAGATATGCCAAAATACATGTATGCCAACATATGCTCGACATAAGCAGAAAGTGTAGATCATTTCTGTAAAATTACAACCCGGCTATCATGCTTATGGTGCAAATCAAAACACATGCCGAATAGTATGGCTGGGGTGTGTCCCCAGCAACCGTAGCGATAGTGTTCATCCATGGGGAAATGTAGCAAACGCCTCAACCATTCCAAATTCATCCATAAAAGGCATTTCTGAACGAATTTTGTCCATAATAATTTATATGAACTTAGAAGTTGCGACTTCGGCGGTAATGTTGGAGCAACCAACTTCAATAATTTATATATTATATATATATACATGTCAACAAACAATGGATCACTCGTAATATTTCGCTACTCCGAGTTTCATGCACTGTGTGCAATCATCAGGCAAACAATATACTCCGAGTTTCATGCACTGTGTGCAATCATCAGGCAAACAATATTCTTGAATATTGTTTGCCTGATGATTGCACACAGTGCATGAAACTCGGAGTAGCGAAATATTACGAGTGATCCATTGTTTGTTGACATGTGTCATTGCTCCCCCCAAGAAATTGGATGTTGAGCACTTTTTCTGCAGGCATAGTCTTACTAAGTATTACTCAATCTGCGGACAGCATGCTGTTTCGTTCTTTTTGAACTCATCAGCGCAGCACAGAGAAAATGAGGCCGAACCTGATAGCAATGAAAATAAAAATTTCCAATCAGGCCCGAACGTACCTTGCCAGAGTGCTCAAACTGACAAGTCAGTGAGCTCTGCATAACGCAAACAGCAAAGGCACTACCCCACGCAAGAGTGCTCAACTGCTACAAGAGCACGAGCGAAATACTCAATCTGCGGACAGCGTGCTGTTTCGTTCTTTTAGAACTCATCAGCGCAGCACAGAGAAAATGAGGCCGAACCTGATAGCAATGAAAATAAAAATTTCCAATCAGGCCCGAACGTACCTTGCCAGAGTGCTCAAACTGACAAGTTGTATATATATATATAGGGGGAAGTGGTCCCGTCCACCGCAAAGAGGGCTCAACAGCGCTGGGGTGCACTGGAGCTAGTACACAATGGAAGCGGTCCTCACCAAGAAAACACAATCCGGAAACTCGGAGTAGCAACGGATTGCGTTTTCTTGGTGAGGACCGCTTCCATTGTATATATTATATATATATATATACTCAATCTGCGGACAGCATGCTGTTTCGTTCTTTTTGAACTCATCAGCGCAGCACAGAGAGAATGAGGCCGAACCTGAAAGCAATGGAAATAAAAATTTCCAATCAGGCCCGAACGTACCTTGCCAGAGTGCTCAAACTACCGGAAAGTCCGGAGCAAACGCCCACCCCATTTTTGCAAGATCTGCTGGCCTGTAGATCTACGCGCTGAGACTTGAACTTTTGGCCTGACCCTACGGGTACGTTACGGGACGGACTTGAAAGTTCACTTCACACCGTAGCGAAAAGTGACTACTGCTATGGTAAACATGGTAAACTATGGCACAAAGCTAGAGCCGAGTAGATACTAGTAGTAGAGGCTAGAGTTTGGAAGCTCATAGATCGATAGAGACTGCACTGTTGGCCGGAGTCTACGGCTCAACTGAAAGTGTCGCAATCCACTCGAGCGGTGTCAAAGCAAGTTAGTTACTTTCGATCTGTAAACGTTCATGGATAACTTTCTTGCTTCTCAGCTTCAGTCACCATGAATAACCTTTGCCTTGCCTTTGACTGTGAAGTTCGCAGTTACCGCCGGTCGGAGCTGCACAGAGCCTATAATATAATTTATGTCCAGGGACAAATTTGTAGAATTCCCTCGGCAACCCGAAAACGAGAACGATTGTAATGCTCTTTCGGCTATGCAATCTGGAAGAGATTTTGCCTTCTTGCAACGTGAGATAGCATTTTCGCCGTGCAGGCGGTGCCATTCTACAGCACTGCATTTAAACTCCACGTCGAACTTGTGGCGTCTTGGCATGGCGAAAAAAACAATCGCTTCCAAGAACGACTGCGAAAGGATTGAATGCAGTTGGTCCCTTCTTGGCGAGGTTAGTGCATTTTGTCCGCGGGAATTTGATGTTGAGCTATAGCGATAGTTCTTTTGCTATAGTCCTTGCCATAGGCAGTTCGTAGGCTTTTCATGTCTACTCGTACGAAATCGAACTTTCTGTACACCATTCTTGTCCTCAGGACGACGTACCTGTGCCCTGCATTGCGAAAATAGTACAATCGAGCTGGGGTGGGCGTTTGCAGCGAAGTGGGCGTTTGCTCCGGACTTTACGGTATATACCGTATTATCTCTAATATAAGCACGGTCCTTTATTTTTTCAATGTACCTCCGCCCCGTGCTTTTAATGGAGACGTTCCTTTATTGGAGACTGTTCCATTATTATTTCAACCTCATTTCAGAGGCATGTTGCCATGCCAAATTTATATGCCAAATTTATATGTCAGACACACACATTTCAGGGTTTTTTCGCCGGTACAGATAATGAATTTACACAGTGTGCTTATAATGGAGACTGAGCACATTATTTTTTGAATGCCGCCCCAAGGTGTTCTATTATTGGAGACGTGCTATTATTGGAGACTGTGCTTATATTAGAGATAATACGGTATATACGTTTTGTCCTCATTTTCTTCAGAATATTTGAATTATATGCTGGCTCCATTCCAATATTCCCTTTGTCGCTCAATATGCCACACATGAACTGTCTCACAAAATATGCGGAAATATGCGCAAGCATATTTGGTCGAGGCCTAGAGGTGGGTGATACTTGAAGAGGAGGTGCCCAAAATTAATTGTCCGGAAGTACTGAGTGACGTCACGCCGGACTTGACCTCCACGTGTGTCATTCGTCGGCAAAAAGTAACCAAAAAAGCGAAGTCCAGCCCGCGGCCATGTGCATTGTACGTATGTAATCAAGCACGCTCGGGAGGTCATGATGGCTGAATCTTGCCCGAGCCTGCAGCCCAAGGGCCGTAGGCCCGAGGGCTGCAGGCAAGGGCAAGATTCAGCCATCATGACAGACAGAGCGTGCTTGATTTGATTTCTTACAGCGCGAAGCAACATATTAGGGAAGGTCAAAGGTGGAAAGGTCGAAAGGTCGAAAAATTATTCCCGAAATGACGTCAAACGGTCCGAACATTCCCGAAATGACGTCAAACGGTCCTGGTGGCCTGATTATGCCCGCGGCGGGAAGATCGCCTATTGGCCATGGCCCCGGCAACGATCACGTGTCATGTAAGAAAACTGTTTTCGGTGCACGTGTGCCTTCTTCTGAAATCAGATAATTATGTGCATGTACGTAACCAGTCGTTGTATGCAATGAGAATGCCAAAAAGGGAGAAAACAAACAGAACTAGAAGTCGACAGCATTTTGTCGTACCGGTTAAGTTCACGTAAAAGTCTTACGTCCGTGAACTTTTACGTCAAAAAGTGAAAAAACTCACGTAAAATTTGACGTGTTTTACGTGAGTTGACTGTCCCGCACGTAAGTTCATGACGTGAGTTTTTGGAAGTTTCGCTTGGTTATTCCGACCGAATTTGTGTGAGTTTCCGGAATTTTATCGAGTTTTATCGAGTTTGTTGGAAGATTTGATACTTGTGCGAACTAAACCCGAATCCTGCCAGGCAAAATTTCACGTCACGTCGCACGTGTTAACCTCTAAAAATTACACGTAACGTGAGATTTGCACCGCGTTTTGAAAAAGGGCAAAAAACGTGTAACTTAACCTCTCTACTGGTACTTCCTCCGCGCGACGCTCCAGCTCTTTGTTTGTTTGTGATTACGAAGGAGTGAAAGGATGTTTGTTTTTGGCTGTTAGTGTGACACGCATACCTCGTACTTTTAAATGATTTCGTTGTATGGAATGTGGCGGTGTTGCCCACGCGGCTCTGAAATGAAAGACGTCTGAGCTTGCCGCGGTCATCTGCGTCTTCAGCAATATCGTCATCAGATGAATCGCCCTCACGTTGTTACATTGCTTTCCTTTGGGGCTCGGGCTGGTGGTGTTATTGCTGGCCGGAGGTGTACTGTTTTCTGCACACGCAATCATCATCGTGTTGTTCCTCACACGAAAAGTTCAAAACAACGACGTACTTTCGTGCTCACAAAATAAAACTAAAGGCCGATTCACAATACAACTTTCTGCGACGCGACACGCGATTTGCGACAGTTGCGACAAGAAACTGCCTGTCGCGAGCTGTCGCAATGCACCTGTCGCAGAAGTTGAAGAAAGTTCAACTTTGGCGACATGCGACACGCGACATACACAAATGGAGTACAGTTTCGACCCTGGGTGCATGTGCAGTGCACGTGCATAGTACTACTTGTGCATGAGGATGTCGCAAACATGAAGAATATTGTGAACCGTGTGTCGCTGTCGCAGCTCGTCGCATGTGTCGCAAGTCGCTTGTCGCGTCGCAGAAAGTTGTATTGTGAATCGGCCTTAAAGCGGGATTCACAGAAGCTTTTTGCGATGCGACGGGATCTGCGATGGACGCGTGCGATGCGAACCCGCGAAATACCATTCACAGAAGAGGTCAATGATGCGACAAAGTCTTGCTGATTTGGGTACGTCAACATGATATTCGCGCGGTTTGGTACAACTTGTACAAATTTATAGGCAACTCTTGAACCTTTGTCCAACTTTGCTGTAGAAAAGGTCAAAATCGTATGCCAAATCGCTTGTCGAATCGCAAAAGTTGAGCCAAGCTCAACTTCTGCGATGGCCCAGTTGCAGTAGTTGCGTGGGGTGCGAGATGGCTGCGATTTGGGGATTTCCCGGTTTCGCGGCAGTCGCATCGCGTGTCGCATCGCAAAAAAGCTTCTGTGAATCCCGCTTTAGGCAGCGGTCACACCAAACGCCATTCAGCGGAAAAAGCGCTTTTTGACGTCATCGTTGCTACAGAAACGGCTAAGTTTTTGGCTTCAGCCGTTTCAGCAGTCAGTCGTTTTCAAGGCGCTGAATGGAGCGCCTGAGTCCGATTCAGCCACTTTCAGCCATTTCTGGCACAGCCGCGGGAAAACAAAATTGTGCAAATCCAAAGCACATCATGCCATGGATGCATCGTGTTCTGAAATATTCCGGCTTTCGTTGTTTGTTTTGTTGTTGGTCCAACCGTTCTCTCATTGCCTGCTGTCTGTTATTGACCTCATCTTTCCTTGTGCACTTTCCACGAGGTATGATTTGGTTCGGCAGCGTCAGACAAGGTGGTGACCTTGTACATGCATTTGTGTATATATAAATCATTTTTCGTAGAAATAGCCTCTGTATAATATTTTCGCGCGAAAGAAATAAACTTTCTCTTTGGCCCCAACTTCGTTGTGGTCTGGTTGGCCATTGTAGCCGTCATGGTTGACGTAAAACACCATAACTCCACGCGTGCTGGTCATTGCACGTTGTAGCCGCAGTGCAGCGGTGTAGTTGCTATGCATGGATTTTGACTTGAACTATGCATGCAAAACACATGCACATTGTTTGTTTGTTTGTTTATTTTATTTTACTTCACCAAGTGATCAGGCATTTCTGCCTTCTCACCAGGTCCGGAGACCTAGTTCCGACAGAATGATGAAGAGTAAATGAAAATGTATGTATAAAATGATGAAAATCATGCAGAAGGTTATACCGTAAAATCCCGCCAGAGCGCCCCTACCTCCTCGACGCTTCAAGTGGGGGAGGGGCGGATGGGCGAGTCCTACTTGCCGCATGCAGTGCTACATGAAAAAGTACTCACCCTACAAAATCTGTTCGTGCATCTCGTACACAGACCAAAGGTCAAGAGCCACGAGTCGTACAGACCCGACAAAACGCAGGGTTTGTGCAATCCCTGGTCAAGAGGGTGGGCACTGTTGCGTACATTTCCAACGGGGTTGAGCACGCGTCTGCAGTACAGTACGGCATCACGGACTGCAACAGAGTCATACGAGGATACAATCAATCACGTCCCTGACAAGAAGTCAGCGCCTAGGGAGGGGCGGATGGGAGAGACGGGGCGCTCTGGCGGGATTTTACGGTAATTATGAAAGCGGATAAAATGATTGAATCACAAGGACACATTTTTATGTGACGGCGTTCCACTGATGACAGTCACAAGAAAACGTTATGGAACTTGACTTTCTTCATTTTTGCTGTTGTTATGAGTGCACAATTTATCTTATTTATTGCCATTTTACGACTATTGTCTCCTCGTCGATTGTTTGAATCACAAGGAGCTTGAATTTTACGGAGTATGGACACAGAGTATGCAGAAAATTTAATGAAAAAAGGATGGAGAAGATGATTAATGATCATGGACATAGTAGTAGATGTGTGCGGAAGGAATGAAAATCCAGCTTGGGTCGTAGATATAGTAATTATGACAGAGAGAACAAAAGAAAACAGGGAGAAAATGAGTGTGTGTGTGTGTGCACGTGCGCGCGCGCGCGCGCGCGTGTGTGTGTGTGTGTGTGTGTGTGTGTGTGTGTGTGAGAGAGAGAGAGAGAGAGAGAGAATGAGAAAGAGAAAGAGAGACAGATAGAGAGACAGACAGACAGAGACAGACAGACAGACAGATAGAGACACAGAGAAAGAAAGGGAGAGTGAGAGAGAGAGAGAGAGAGAGAGAGTGAGAGAGAGAGGGGGGGGGGGAGGGAGAGAGAGAGAGAGAGATCGATCAGTATGTGAGAGTAGCAAAGTGGTCGGTAGTACCAGGCTGGTCGCTAGTCACGGTGGTCGGTAGTACCAGGCTGGTCACTAGTCACGGTGGTCTTTAGTTACAGGTTTCATTGTACCTGTACAATTGTCAGTCCGTATTTTTTGTTGCTGTCTTGGTGTTGCTTCAGTTGCCATCGTGTCGCTATAGCAATCAGAGCGCACTTTGTTCGCGAGTCACTGAGCCTCTTTTGAGCATTACACAATTTATACATGAAATGAAATTGGTTCCGTTTCGCGTACGAGTTTGTAACGAGTCACTGAACAGCTCTCTTGTCCTGTTATGACAGCATGATTCTTACTTTTCCCGGTTTTTGTCTCTTTGTCGTTTGTGAACCGCTGTGAATACACAAGGTATTACGTGCCCAGCAATCCTTCTTCTGCACTGGAACTGTTCACGTCATGGGGTCGGGAACTGTTCACATCATGGCGTCGTCGACCATGGTAAGTTGTATTGCTATGGATGAATTTTTTAGTGAGGTGTGACCGAAACAAATTAGAGATTCCTGGACCCTCCCGCACCAAAAATCGAGGCCAAGGCAATTTTTCTAACAGTTCATATAGTGCAGTACTGATCGTGCGAGTACGTCTGTGACATGGAGTTATGCACTGTCACACAAACCCGGGCTTGTACGACTCTCTGATATACGACTCGGCCTCAGGGCTGTCGACCTGTCGTTGGCCGAAGTACACAAAAAATGTACGGGTAAACCGCGTACCTGTTGTCTGTAAAAAAAGTTAATAAAACTAACAGATATTACTGTAAAAAAAGTTCAGCATGCCATACATACGTACATAGGCAAAATAAAACATACAAAATTCTCCCGCCCGCACCAATTTCACATGGATCCTGCCCAGGAACCTCGATTTTATTTTGGTCTTGCCTGGTGTATGGGACAACGATTTCCAGGAGCGATTATTCCCTTGAATACCGATGAAGAAATAATTGATCTACAGTCCTACCTCGGTTATCCGACCGCCCAAAGAGGTGTGTTACTACAGTCTATTTATAAATACTGTGAAAAAAGTTATTTTCGGTGTAACTATAATTTCGGTGATTTCGGTAGAGAAACCAGCCGCCTAAATTTAAATTACACCTAAAAGGCACTTACTAGCATATGCACTGTACATGTACGTGACGGGAAAACTAGTCACCTTAGGCTGCGTTCGTTTTAAGTTACCTGGTAGAGTAGAGTAGAGTAGAGTAGAGTCACTCTACCGATAGAGGTACAGTGCGCATTGCATCATCAAAGGTAAGAGGTAAGAGCACGAACGCTGTTCTACCGGATTTAGTAGCTTTTCACGATGTGTACGTGAACTGCTTCTCTCCTGTATGGAGTTGTGTACAACTCGTTGATTTTGCTGGACATTCTGTACCTCTACCAACTTCTACCGGCTTCTACCAACTTTTCCCTGGTCACTGAAGAGCCGGTAGAGGAAAGTAGAACACCTCTACTGAAAGAAGTAGTTTCTACCAAAACCTGTAGATCAAAAACGAACGCCCCCTAATTCTACATTACACCTGAAACCTGGCAGGTCCATGACACAGAAAATGTTAATGCACCTAAAACTACATGTTTTACAGTAGATGTACTTCTAGCTTTTGGCCATAAATGGGTCATACCAAGAGTACATAACCCCCCAGAGTGTGCAACTCCACTATGGGTGCTGTCCCGACAGAATTTCAAGTTGACGTCATTTTGATGATGCAATGCGCACTGTACACGGATTATCAGACGAATCCGGAACCTGTGGTTGACCGAAGCCGATCGATCCTGTACAAATTATTGCAAAGAAAAACGTGTGATGCGTCGACACCCGTACACATGTTGTAAATCATTGGTGCGAGGAGCATTGCGTCATAAATAATGACGTCAACTTGAAATTCTGTCGGGACAGCAGGGTATGTGGGAGTTGCACACTCTGGGGGGTTATGTACTCTTGGTCATACTTGGAGTTAAAATTGAGACCATAACAAATTTGTAATCGATGAATTATGCCAAGAATATAATCCCCCAAGAGTGTGCAACTCTGCATATGGGGTCTCCGACGGTGAAAACTCACATCACGTGTCTCCGATACATTCGTACTGCGTACAAACGAAGGATAGCGTGCGTGCAATCCGAACATCTCTGTCTGTCTCTGTCTGTCTGTCTCTGTCTGTCTCTGTCTGTCTCTGTCTCTCTCTGTCACTCTCTCTCTTCCTCTCTCTCTCTCTCTCTCTCTCTCTCTCTCTCTCTCTCTCTCTCTCTCTCTCTCTCTCTCTCTCTCTCTCTCTCTCTCTCTCTCTCTCTCTCTCTCTCTCTCTCTCTCTCTCTCTCTCTCTCTCTCTCTCTCTCTCTCTCTCTCTCTCTCTCTCTCTCTCTCTCTCTCTCTCTCTCTCTCTCTCTCTCTCTCTCTCTCTCTCTCTCTCTCTCTCTCTCTCTCTCTCTCTCTCTCTCTCTCTCTCTCTCTCTCTCTCTCTCTCTCTCTCTCTCTCTCTCTCTCTCTCTCTCTCTCTCTGTATGGTCCCTGCCTAGACCATACAATGATCTAATCATGCAGTTTACACACACACGTAACTGGCTCACTCTGAACTGCTCTGAACTCGGAATGTCATTATCTTCAACCAGACTCAGCTGCAGCAAGAGAAGACTGCCCCCGAACAACCCAAAACCGACTTCACACGAGCATGCATCTCTAGTGCGCATGCTCGTGAGAAGTCATAATAATATGACTTGACTGAGGGACACAACACTCTCTCTCTGTGTGTGTGTCTGTGTGTCTGTCTGTCTGCCTCTGTCTGTCTGTCTCTCTCCACCCCTAGTGGACATTATAGCGTAACTTGTAGTTCTTTGGTCTTTTTTCTTTTCGAAACATATATTTTCATTTACTCTTCTGAATACTCTTGATCATTTTGTCGGAACTAGGTCTCCGAACCGGGTGAGAAGGCAGAAATGCCTGTTCACTTGGTGAAGTAAAATAAAATAAACAAACAAACAAACATGGTGAGAGGTATTTAAAGCTGACGGGACAGTGGTCTGATAGCGGATCTAGGACTTCTAGGTCTGAGATCCAATGCTCTGCGTCTGTGATAACCAGGTCAAGAAGCAATTGCTGGCTGTGTTGTGCCTAACAGAGAGCCAAAAATCCTGACGCTTCTCTATGGCTCCTCAAGAGGTGCAATTGTCTGGTGTTCCACTGGTTTCGCCATTGACCCACTATGTTTCAGAGACATTGACTTTTTGAGCTGCCACTTGTCGAAGATGCCTTTTGCCAGTGTCAGAAACTGAGAGAGATACATATGGGGCGGAATGCCGCCGCATACACAGATGTTGAAAAAATCATGATGACTGGCTCTTCATACTACGTTGCAAAACTCACCACGTTTTGGTATTCCACGTACTTTCAGAAGTTGTTTACATATATGTTGTGTATCGGTAGAAAGACTTTTCATGGCTCTTTTTGGGCGGGTCGGATGGGCAGGGAGGCTGGGCCCCTGACGCCTGGACAACATGTGCGCGTGCACAAAATTTGGCGATCACGCCAGGATTGTCAGGGAGATGAGGAACTGGAAGGAACTCCGGTGCGAAGGAAAACGCATCGTGAACAAATCACCGAAACGACGTCGTCTGAGCTGAAGGCGCTGAGCGAGGAAACGTCTGCGAGGAGTGGCTGGCTCGTCGGAGCTGAATGCGCTGAGGGCAGATGAAATGGATGAACATCTGCGAGGAGTGGCTGGTCCGTCGGAGTTGAATGCGCTGAGGGCAGGGACGTCCCGCGAGGTGGCTGGTGAAGACGACGACTCGGAGGTTGGTGCGACGGAAGTCGTTGGAGCTGAATGCGCTGAGGGTAGACGAAGTCGGATAAACGTCTGCGATGAGTGGCTGGTTCCTACGACAAGGACGGTGCGAAGGAAAACGCATCGTGAGCAAATAACCCCATGTGAGTGTGACGCGGAGTTTAGAAGGTGCTCCTGCTGTGATTTGTTGACTAGTTTGATTCGATTTGTTTTGAGTGGTTTGGTTTGCTCGATTTGTTTGTTAGTTCGAGTTTGGTAGTTCGGTTTGCTCGAGTTGTTGATTAGTTTGTTTTGCTCGAGTTGTTTGTTAGTTCGAGTTTGGTAGTTCGGTTTGCTCGATTTGTTTGAGTTTGATTTGTTTGTCCCTGGTCGGACGTTGCCTTTCGTTGGAGTTTTGTTGGCGTGTCGATCGTTTATTTGTTTATTTGTTGCCTCTTGTAGTTAGCTTGATTAGTACGCTTGCGGCGTATACTCGTAGGGCACAGTGTTCGCAGTCCTCGTAGAACCCTGAAAAGGTCTTTGGTGGGGAATATGTTGTGTATCGGTAGAAAGACTTTTCATGGCTCTTTTTGTTGTGGTCCTTTCGTTTATTTTGGTTTGTTTTGCGTTCTGCTTTGACTTGTTTTGGTTGCATGTATAGTTTGTACATGATCCAAGTAACGGTTACGTCATTGTCATACGTTGTGTTTTGTTGCGCGCATGCTCGTATGCTGCCATAAATGTTAGTCTTTTTCTTCAGTTATCAGTTTACCTCGTCGTGTCCGGTCTTCTTGTCTGTCCGTCTCCGTCTTGTCAAGAAATTATGTAGAACTCTCAGTTCAGTTTCGTTGTTGTGTGTGGCGGGTCGGATGGGCAGGGAGGCTGGGCCCCTGACGCCTGGACAACATGTGCGCGTGCACAAAAATGCAAGTGCATTCGCACAGGCACGTACACGCTGTTCGTACTGTTGTGCATACAGCTTTTTTGGACACCAAATCACCAACTGCTGGGAACGACAGGACACATCCCGATACAGGGGTTTGGATATGTCGCCTACGTTTTCGTATGCAGCGATCGATTTCCCCGCCACATTCCGTGTTGTCATGGCTATTCGGACAAAACATCGCACACTCCACGTTTTGGGTGTAGCGTGAATGGCCCAATATCTCAGTTGTGAGATTGAGCAGTTGTGAGATTGGGCAGTTGTGAGATTGAGCAGTTGTGAGATTGAGCAGTTGTGAGATTGAGCAGTTGTGAGATTGAGCAGTTGTGAGATTGAGCAGTTGTGAGATTGAGGTTTCTATAGAATGCTATCTTGGTGTCTACTAGATTTACATGTACCTAAGTAGTGTGTGTGTGTGTGTGTGTGTGTGCACGTGTGTGTGTATATGTGTGTGTGTGTGCACGTGTGTGTGTATATATGTGTGTGTATGTGTGTGTGTGTGTGACTATGCATTTTTGGTTGCCACAGATTACAATTGTTCTAGGGGTTATTCTCTTGCCTACCTTCTGCGATGCGCTGGGACGGCGTGCGAACGATGACGCCAATGTTTTCTTTGGTAAATGTGATGTAAATATTGTATTATTCTCCATTAGGCCACACATAGTTACTTGTAATGTTTCCCGCCCCCGTGCCCACAGGTTTGCAGTACTCACGGAAGAAAAAAATCATCTTTGTACATGAGTGTGTATGACAGACTGATTGAGTGACTGTGTATGGTATTGCATGTACACTGTACTGCTGCAGCATGCAGCAGCTATAGATGCGTCAACGTGTACTTCTGTAGTAGTGGTGGTGAAGGTGGTGAAGGTGGTGGTGAAGGTGGTGGTGGTGGTAAAGGTGGTGGTGGTGGTGGTGAAGGTGGTGAAGGTGGCGTCAGGCGAAATAGCACGTCATAGTACATTTGAGATCAGCGGGAAGAAGATGACGACGTCCACTAATTAGTATCTGTGCACACGAATCTGCTGTGTGTGTGACTCTGTGTGTCAGCTATGATATCATCTTCTGTGGTTCCATGCCTAGCATGCACGTCTGAACCATCCTGCGAAGTTTGAATGACGTAGGTTGAGCGATCGCTCCGCGAAACATACT